ACTTAATTTGATTGTGGAGGATTTCATTTTGACTTAGGGTTCCTACAAAATCAGTAGTTACAGGGCACAATGATTTGAATGGAACATTTTCTGTATCCACCAAAAAAGTTGCTACATTCTAGACATATGAAGAATTCAGAACAAACATAACCATTCGATTCAAACAACTTATTGTTTCGACATTACGTTTCCAAGCATTGAGGACAAAAACAACCAATTTTCCATCTAACTTCGAAGAATTTTTGATAAGAGCATGAATTCAGCCGAGCGGTTTGATAAATTATTAGAAACACACATGGAAAACAAAAATTGGAATGCAAATCACTGCGGTGACAAAAAATCAAACCTTACAGACAAGTGGACGAGAAACTGCATTTCAATGCATATATTATATATATATGTAATGTACGGTGTATAATAACTATCATAAATACACATGCAGATAATATTGGTAAGCTGATATACAGATGAACATGTACAGAATATTAATTATGATAACGTTATATTTATAAAACACGACATGATGTATTTGACGAATTCAATCAATGACAATTTATAAATAAATATAGCATCTATCCTCTATGGATTGGTAGTTATAACACTAATGAAATGTCAACAGATAATACAGTCTATTTTGTAATCATTTATCGTGCTTTAAGGAAGTTGCGAAAATATTAGCATGTTTTGGCAGTTTGTACATGATAATTACACTAAACCACATCTCAGACGATAAAAAGCATACCATATTTGCTTTCATATTAGTAGTGCATTTACAATAAGGCCAGACTTTTATTATCCCTTGTTTCGCGAACCCGTCGAATGAACAGGAGCTGAAAATGATATAAAAATATAATTTTATTTCGGCGTAATTTCTCGCGCCTGCCGGCTTGTACGAGCAAAAAAATGCTAAAAAACTATTATTTTTATCTTCATTTGTTTACCGCCCGCCGCATAACAAATCCAAGTTGCATTTTCGTATCATGATCAAATTATTGAAGTCTCGTGCAGATGAGAAACAATAACATGGAATAAAATTTTATTTCATTTCTTCTCTCTGATCAATGATCACACTTACATTTTTTGCGAATTACACAAATCTAATGGAAAAAAGGAATTAATTTTATTTTTTTTCCGCCCTCCTCAAAAAAATTGTCTTATAAAAACTTGCAAAACAAGGAATAAAAAAAGTCTGGCCTAAGTACAAATATAAAAAAAATTTGACCATATACACCTCTATCATTTAATGTAAGCATATACGCTACTCATTCAACAAATATGATATGCCTATCATGTTTTGGAAGTATTTACATAAACCTCAGCGCACAAAAAACAAGCAGCCTCTCGGCTGAGATAGCTCCGCTGTTAGCAATGCACATTTCAATTAAAGAACAGAAGATATCATTAGAAAATGAACAATATGCATAGTATCAATGCAATGGGACTTGCTGTTTTCAACAAGAATTCAAAAATATCATTTTTCACCATAAATGATTGT